AAGGAAAGGTGAAAGGAAGTGAAATTCTTCAACCCCTAAAATGGAAGCAGTTTTTCGGCAGAGCTCTGTCTTTCAAAAGAGCGAAAGCCAGTTGAAAAGACAGCCTTTCAACATGCCAACCCCTCCATTTAAGTTTTTGACAACTAAATGACCTGCCAAAATTGAAAATACGAAGATTTATCTCTTTCAGAAAGCCTACCCAGTCAATTATATTATTTAATATGTATATTTTGCACCTTTGTACTAAAGGTAAAGATAAAGGTTGTCCCCTGACATTAAGTCCAGTCGTGTCCAACTCTGGAGGTTGGTACTAATCTCCATTTCTAAGCCAAAGAGCCAGTGTTGTCCTTAGACATCTCCAAGGTCATGTGGCTGGCATGATTACATGGAGCACCGTTATCTTCCCACCGGAGTGGTACCTATTGATCTACTCATATTTGCATGTTTTCGAACTGCTAGGTTGGCAGAACCTGAGGCTGACAGTGGGAGCTCACACCATTCCCCGGATTTGAACCTGTGACCTTTTGTTCAACAAGCTCAGCAGCTCAGCGGTTTAACCCACTGCGCCACCGGCTAGGGAAACTACCATCATTAGCATCTATTACCTCAATCCCATCCACATTCTTTCCTTCACACATCCCATGAGAGGCAGAACCAGCAACAGCCACAAAACCTCAAAGTGACAATTTATTACATTTCCTTCTAAACCCGGAGACCAATTGAAAAAAATGACAGACAGCACATCCAAGCCAACCAGCCTGAAGATTCAAGCCACCCTCGATTTGGACCTATCAACACTCAGGGCAGCAGAAGCCTTTCGTTTCGAACTGCTGTCAAAGTCCTATAAATATATCTGCATTGAGGTATGTCAGTTCTTTGGAGAGTTGTCTCTACTAGTATCTCCTCTGGCCATTGAGAAAAAAGACTCAGATTTTGCCTTCAACCTGTCTGTGTTTCACATGGCCTTCTGGAAAGCTTCACCCACCAGGCTCCGAACCTGCGATTCTTGCGGAAGCTGAAATCACGTAACATAGGCGAACACAAGAAAAAAGGGGCATGAACTGCAGAAGAGATGCCCCTTTACAACTAAATCAACTGCGTGTGGGTGCTTGCTATCACAACATGGCCCTGAAACCCTGCCCATCCCACGCATGCTCACTTGGAGGGTGCGGGTGTCATAGAGGCGGAGGTGGCGGTCCTTGCCGGCGGTGGCGAAGGCGCTCCCGTCACGACAGACGTCCAGCGCGTGGGTCTCGTTCCCCTCCTCGGCCAGCGAAGCCACTGGGGAGCGGTCTGGTGGGAGAAAGGCGGCGACGGAGCCCTCGGCCCCTGCGGCCAGCAGCAGCCCTGGTCGGGCCCCCAGGAAGCAGACGGCTGTCACGGGACCCGCAAGAGGCCCGGTCTTCAAGGAGGAGGAGGATTCCGGGAGGCCCGTCTCGGTGTCCACCAGCTGAGAAGGAGGAAGAAGGCAAATGTTGTTGGAGAATGTAAAAATCAGTTGGTGAGTGTGTTAACTGAAAAATGCAAAGGATGAAGCTGATTGGTTGGACCACGTCTGAGAGGGTAGCTGAGCCTGGGAGCTTTGCCAACAGTTACATGTTTTCTATAGCAAGACAGTGTGTGGATTGGTAAAGATATGAACTACACTTAGAATCACAGAATCAAAGAGTTGGAAGAGACCTCATGGGCCATCCAGTCCAACCCCCTGCCAAGAAGCAGGAATATTGCATTCACCTCATCTTTGACAGATGGCCATCCAGCCTCTGTTTCAAAGAAGGAGCCTACACCACACTCCAGGGCAGAGAGTTCCACTGCTGAATGGCTCTCACAGTCAGGAAGTTCTCCCTCATGTTCAGGTGGAATCTCCTCTCTTGTAGTTTGAAGCCATTGTTTCACGTCCTAGTCTCCAGGGAAGCAGAAAACAAGCTTGCTCCCTCCTCCCTGTGGCTTCCTCTCACATATTTATATGTGGCTATCATATCTCCTCTCAGCCTTCTTGTCTTCAGGCTAAACCTGCCCAGCTCCTTAAGCCGCTCCTCATAGGGCTTGTTCTCCAGACCCTTGATCATTTTAGTCGCCCTCCTCTGGACACATTCCTGCTTGTCAATATCTCTCTTGAATTGTGGTGCCCAGAATTGGACACAATATTCCAGGTGTGGTCTAACCAAAGCGGAATAGAGGGGTACCACAAATGTTATCGTCAAAAAAGGAAGGAGGAAGAGAAGAAGGTGTAGACAATCCCCACCCAGGGTTGTTGTAGATTTTTCAGGCTATATGGCCATCTTCTAGAAGCATTCTCTCCTGACGTTTTGCATGTATCTATGGCAGGCATCCTCAGAGGTTGTGAGGTCACCTGCTATAGATGCAAGTGAAACATCAGGAGAGAATGCTTCTAGAACATGGCCATATAGCCTGAAAAACCTACAAGAACCCAGTGATTCTGGCCATGAAAGCCTTCAACAATACAATCCTCAGTCAGTCTAACATGATTCTGCAGATCATTGAAGAGATTATCCATAATGAGATGGGCCAACTCTGGCCCTCCAGGTGTTTTGGGCTTTCAACCGGATATTGGGTATTGTGGGAGTCGAAATCCAAAACACCTGGAGGACTAAACTTGTCCCATGCCTGATCTATAAGCACTTAGAAAGAAACCAGTTCACTTGTCGGGAAAAAGAGGTAGACTATGACGATCTGGCAGAAATAAAGAATATGATCTAAAACATCTTATAGAGGATAGGAATCCATTGATGACTTATAGAGCAGCTAAGTTTTGTGTGGCAGCTATAAAAATAAGGAAGCACTGGGTTGTTGTAGGTTTTTCTGAGCTATATGGCCATGTTCTAGAGGCATTTTCTCCTGACATTTCGCCTGCATCTGTGGCAAGCATCCTCAGAGGTAGTGAGGTGAGGAAGCAGTTTGTGGATGATTTCAGCAGACAGAAGTTTTAACTTACTCGTTTTATTATCTATACCCACAGATTTTATAAGTATGATATATGAAGCCACATAGATTGACTCCATATTATGGACTTTCTGCTTTTAATATTATGAAATTTTGGTCATAGTGCTAATGCTTTAAAAAACTCTGTTCAGAAAGTTTTACACTCTTGGTCTATGGCCCTAATAATAATAAAATGCATTTATTTATTCACTTAGAAAGGAATGCCAAGAGTCAACATGAGTTCCCCCAAAGCAATTCATGTTTTTTTCAATAGGAGATTCCACTTGAACATGAGGAAGAACTTCCTGACTGTGAGAGTCGTTAAGCAGTGGAACTCTCTGCCCCGGAGTGTGGTGGAGGCTCCTTCTTTGGAAGCTTTTACACAGAGGCTGGATGGCCATCTGTCAGGGGTGATTTGAATGCAATATTCCTGCTTCTTGGCAGAATGGGGTTGGACTGGATGGCCCATGAGGTCTCTTCCAACTCTTGATTCTATGATTATGATTCTATGATAGGGTTACAAGCTTGGTAGATGCAAGGAATGTTGTGGATGTAGTATCTTGATTTCAGCAAGGACTTTGACAGAATCCCTCATGACCTTCTTGCAAGCAAACTAGTCAAATGTCAGCTAGGTAATGCTACTATTCGGTGGATCTGTAATTGGTTAAGCAACTGAACCCAAAGGATGCATCTCTCCAATGGTTCCTCTTCTTAATCCTGGAGAGAAGTGACCACTGGGGGGCATAAAAGATCAGAGGGAGTTTCGAACCCTGGTCCATGGGCAAAATCTAGCCTGCCAAGCATTTTTTTGCAGCTTCCAACTTTAGGTTTGTATGATTCTATCATCATCATCAACATCATCATCAAGCCAGGATTGGAGAGTCATCTGTCTGGAGTGCTTTGATTGTGTCCACCACCACCACCACCACCCCAACAGTCTGAGAGACCACGAACTGGCCCTTGCTTAAAACATTTGAAGACTCCTGCTATTCAAGATCTTTATTGATGCCTTGGACAGAATTGAAGACATGCTAATTAAATTTTTGGATAGGACCCAGCTAAATACACCAGAGGACAGCGTGGGAATCCAAAATGACATCTACAGATGAGAGAGCTGATTGGCCAAAACAAACACAATGTATTTCAACAGGGAGATAATCTGGAATCAGATCCTGGGATACAGGGTAGTGGAGATCCAGCCTTGCCTTAGTGGAGCACAAGCTGAACACGAGCTAAGCGTGTGATGTGGCAGCTAAAGTGTTCGGATTGAGGGAAACCATGGTCCGACTCTCTTCTGCTTTGGCCAGACCTCTTTACTTGGAATAGTGTAGAAGGGGCCTCTGTGGAATCACTTTCCCTGCTATTTGAATCCATGGCTCCCTAGTGCCTGGAGCAGCAGGAAACACACTGCCCTTCTCCTCAATGGGCCGCCCTTTCAAATATTTAAGCACAGTTCCTTCCTCCAAGCTAAACATCCCCAGCTCCTGAAGCCACTCCTCAGAGGGATTCATGACTTGCAAACCTTTGTCCATGTGGCCCTTCTCTGGACACATTTCTTCTTGTCCATCTCCTTCTTGAATTGCTTTGCCCAGAACTGGACACAGGGTTATTATTATTCCAGGTGAAAAGGTCTGGCCAAAACAGAAGAAAGTGGGACTCAGGCCCCTCCTCTTCCTCCTTCGCTATTTTCCTATGGAGGGGTGAACATTGTGACTATCATTTCCACAGGGCTTTGTTCTGGCCTCACGTTGGTAGCGTGCATGTCTTCGTTGATGGTATCCATCCATCTTTTCTTTGGCCTTTGTCCACGTGGTCATCATCCGGCAGTCTCCAAATGCAGTGCCGTTTGTGCTCCTGATGCTGGTTCTCTCCTCACTACGTGGGCATACCACTGTAGCCTTACTCCCTGCATTTTCTTGCTGATTTCCTTATTATTCCTGGTCTTTAATGGATGGATGGATGTCATTGTTTGGCACATGGTCAAAAAGTGTCAAACCAAGTGTCCATCTTAGCATTTCCGTTTCCATTGTGTTCAGGCTTGTTTGTACGTCTTTGTTGCTGGCCAGCACTCTGCCCCATAGAAGGAGGGCTACTGGGTGGACAACTGTAGTGTACATCTTAGTCATGAGTTGTTCAGGCATTTTTGAGTCACACAGAATGCCAGTCGTTTGCTGCCATTTCAACCAGGCTCCATTTATTTGTGACCATATGCTGCCATTTATGGAGACCAATGAGCCTAGTCATTTAAATTGGGTGGCCTTCTTTGGGGCTTGTCCATTCATTGGGATCATTTCCCCAGTTTGAAGGCCACATTGCAGATACTCTGTTTTGGGTATGTTCGGTTGGAGTCCGTTTTCACTCCATGTGTTGTCTCCTGGTAATGCTATAACTGATAATAGGAGTAGCAGAGGAAGGAAGAGAGGTGCCCAGAGTTTGGACGAGGAGCAACAAAGAGAGGGAATTAGGGAGATATTCATGTCACCTACAGACGAAGACTCTTTTGAGGGCTTTTCAGAAAGTGAAATGGAGGAGGGAGATGGGAGTAGAGGTGTAAAAAGGACTACTCACGAACAAGACTCAGATGAGAAGTATCAGAGGAAACGGATCCATGACATACTTACTGCTCCTACTGAAGAGGAGGATTTTATGGGTTTTACAGGAAGTAATGGGTCTGGGAGTTGTGACGAGGAGGAGGATGGGTTGGATTGGACTTGTGTGCAAGAAGTCAGAGATGTATGTACACAACCTACGTCCAGTGATACCTTTGAGGGGTTTTCTGGGGATTGGCAAACTGGTGATACATGGGGAGAACCAAGTCTTGATAAGAGATGGAAAAGTTGGCGGGATGGGTGTTGGCGCTCAGCTGTAGAGGCTAAAGCAGCTGACAGTGATGAGGAGAGGGCGGAGGACAGTTCATCAACAGATAATGAGTTGTAAGATAAATGTAGGCACTGGAGTAATGAAACTTTGCATAAGGTAAAGTGTTGGAGTTGAGCCTGGGTCTTTGTCGCTGCCGTTTCTCTTGTTGGGTCCTGAATACAGGTTGCTGTATTCTCCGTGTATCGGCTGGCTTGGAATATCGTGAGTGCTGACTTCCCCTCTTCTTGACTTTGGATTGCTTGGACGCCGCCGCTGCTTTTTGGACTTTAAAATCTTCTACTGGACTTATTTCAACTTTGGACTGGGCAAGGTGCTTGAGAGGGCAGCAGCGGAGCAGTTGCAGTTCTTAGACAACACAGCCAGACTAGATCCCTTCCAGTCCGGCTTCCATGTGGGGCACGGGACAGAGACTGTGCTGGTCTCCATCACGGATCACCTTCGATGCCAGCTTGACCAGGGCGGGTCAGCGCTGCTTGTGTTATTGGATCTCACAGCAGCATTTGACACAGTCGACCACAATCTCTTGACCCACCGCCTTGCTGTTGCTGGAGTCAGGGGGAGAGCTTTAAACTGGCTGTCCTCCTTTCTTCACAACCGTGGACAGCGAGTGGAGAGGGGAGGCCTGGTCTCTGAGAGGTCCCCTCTCTCTCTCTTGTGGGGTTCCTCAGGGGGCCATTCTCTCCCCTGAGAAAATCTCTATGCGACCACTTGCTCAGCTGGTTCTAGGTTTTGGGCTTAAGTGTTACCCGTACGCTGATGACACTCAGCTTGCGCTGAGGATGGAGGGCAAACCGGACTCTGTACCCGATTGTTTCCATCAGTGCCTCGAGGCCGTGACTGGATGGCTGCGTGCCAGCAGGTTGAGGGTGAATCCAGCAAAGACGGAGATCCTATGGCTGGGTCGACCGGGCAGTGGGGACATCCAGCTGCCTACCCTGGATGGCGAGGCGCTACCCGTCATCATTGGTCAAGAGTCTGGGAGTCCTTTTGGACCCTCTGCTGAGGATGGAGGCCCAGGTCTCTCTCCGCCGTGAGCAGAACCGCCTTCTTTCTTCACCTGCGGCAGGCTAGACGGCTGGCCCCCTCCCTGTCCAGGGACAACCTTGCTACGGTGATCCAGGCCACGGTCATCTCAGACTGGACTACTGTAATGCCCTCTACATTGGCCTTCCTCTGGCGGTGATCCGGAAGCTCAAGTTGGTACAAAATGCAGCTGCTCGGCTTCTTGCGGGAATTCCGACGAGATGCCACATAACACCAAACTTACTACAGCTGCATTGGTTACCAATTGAGCACCGGATCACTTTCAAAGTGATGGTACTCACCTTTAAGGACTTGCATGGTCTGGGGCTGATGTACCTGAGGGACCACCTCACCCCCTACCAACCCCAGAGATCCCTCCGTTCTGAGGACCAAGATCTATTGGAAATTCCCAGTGTCAAGACAACCAGACGCAACCAGCAACCAGACGCAGAGCCTTTACAGCAGTGGCACCATCACTCTGGAATACTCTGCCACCTGAAGTCCATGCCTTGCGGGACTTGTCAGCTTTCCGCAGGGCATGGAAGACATACCTGTTCCGACAGGCTTTTAATGTTTGATACTGCTGTTTTTAAATTGTTTTGAATTGCTTTTAAACTTTGTTAGATTTTAGCTATTCTTGTAAGCCGCTCCGAGCCCCAGGGGAGTGGCCGCATAGAAGTGCGAATAATAAATAAATAAAATAAATAAAAGATGGCGATGACTCTTGCTTTCCTCCAGATTTTGGGGATCTGTCAGGATGCAGTGCAGTTGTTCATCAGCTCCAGCAGCCAGTGCCTTGCTTTTGGACCAAAGTATAGCACAATATCAGTATTATATATTACTATATTGTAGTATACCATTATATTGTAATATTATTAGTAATATTACATGTAATATAACATATATACTTATAATATGGCATTATTATTATTATTATTATTATTAGGAGAGGGCAAGCTTGGGATCTCAAGAGACCATCCATCCCAACCCCAAGGTGCCAGGGTGCAGGGAGGGCACGGCCAAAGCGCCCCCGAGAGAGGCCCTGCCCGCAGAGAGGCCTCTCCTCTTTGCGTCCCACCTGGAGGGCGCCATCTCCGAATCCCGCGGCCAGCTGCCTGCCTGCGGGGCCGAAGCCGAGGCTGAAGATGCCGTGGGGGTCGTGGGCGAGGGAGACCCTCCGCGGGGAGACATCCCTCCCCTTCTCCGCCTCCTCCTCCGCTGCCTTCAAGCGAGAGGCCTGCAGAGCCTCCTCCAGGCGGCGACGGGCCATCCGCCTGCTCCCTCGGCCCCTCGCGGTGCTATGGAAACCGTTGCCAGAGCAACCGACGCGCAGCCGGCCCTCGCCGATGACGTCACGTGCTTCTCATTGGCTTGCTAGAACGTGATATCGCTGTGATTGGGCAAACAACTCCCTTGGTTCCGCCCTCAAGGGAGGACCGCCTCCTACTTCTCATTGGCAGTCAGGGGTAAATAGTATTCGCTCATTGGCCACAACGCTCCTGCATTCTCATTGGCTGAGTGACAATGTTGTTGCATTCTTATTGGCTGAGTGACAATGTTGCTGCATTCTCATTGGCTGAGTCACAATGTTGCTGCATTCTTATTGCCTGGGCCACAATGTTTCTGTATTCTCATTGGCTGAGTCACAATGTTGTTGCATTCTCATTGGCTGAGTCACAATGTTGCTGCATTCTTATTGCCTGGGCCACAATGTTGTTGCATTCTCATTGGCTGAGTCACAATGTTGTTGCATTCTCATTGGCTGAGTGACAATGTTGTTGCATTCTCATTGGCTGAGTCACAATGTTGCTGCATTCTCATTGGCTGAGTCACAATGCTGCTGCATTCTCATTGGCTGAGTCACAATGTTGTTGCATTCTCATTGGCTGAGTCACAATGTTGCTGCATTCTCATTGGCTAGTCACAATGTTGCCACATTCTCATTGGATGGGTTAAAACTTTGCTGCGTTCTCATTGGCTGAGTCATAATGTTACTGCATTCTCATTGGCTGAGTCACAATGTTGCTGCATTCTCATTGGCTGGGTGAAAATTTTGCTGCAATTCTAATTGGCTGAGTCACAATATTGCTGCATTCTCATTGGATGGGTTAAAACTTTGCTGCAATTCTCATTGGCTGAGTCACAATATTGCTTCATTCTCATTGGTTGGGTCTCTCTCTCAGCTCCCTGTCGTAGCTGCCTAAAGCTCTGACCGGATGTCACTGGAACTTCCGGCCAGAGAGAACCCAAAGGGGGACTTCTTGGAGAAGCCTAGGCTTCCGGTTGGAGCACCCAGGAAGTGGGGAATTCAGAAAGGCCTTTCACAAATGGAGAGATCCACCTCTTTCTTGTCACTCATAGAATCAGAGTTGGAAGGAACCCTGAAGGGCATCTAGTCCAACCCCCTTCCCTGCAAGGAAAGCACAATCAAAGCACCTCCGACAGATGGCCATCCAGCCTCTGTTTAAAACTTTCAAAAGAATGAGCTTCCACTGGACCCTGAGGCAGAGAGTTCCACTGCTGAACACCTCTTCTTAACAGTCAGGAAGTTCTTCCTAATATTCAGGTGGAATCTCCTTTCCTGTCATTTGGACCCATGGCTCCATTGAGTCCATTGAAAACAAGCCTGCTCCCTTTGTTGTAGGTTTCTCGGGCTATATGGCCACGTTCTAGAAGCATTCTCTCCTGACATTTGTCCCACCCTGGTCATTCCACAGATATATAAACCCATTTTTCCTACTTCCAACAGACCTCACTACCTCTGAGGATGCTTGCCATAGATGCAGGCGAAACGTCAGGAGAAAAATTGCCTCCAGAACATGGCCATATAGCCCGGAAAAACCTACAACAACCCAGTGATTCCGGCCATGAAAGCCTGTGATGCTGAGAAGCACTTCCGCATTCCCCGCATGCTTCCCCGCTGGAATGCTTTGCTGGAGTCTTCTTTATGGCCTCATAAATCAGTTAATTTAGCCTCCCCACACTTTAAGGTGGTACCTTATTTTCCTACTTGACAGATGCAACTGTCTTTCGGGTTGCAAAGGTCAACAACAGGCTACACACAATTGGTTGGAAACCCACTCCAACCCGGGCTGGCTTCGAACTCATGACTTTTGGTCAGAGTGATCTTGATGCAGCTGACACTCAGCCAGCTGCGCCACAAACATGGCTATCATGTCTCCTCTCAGCCTTCTCTTCTTCAGGCTAAGCATGCCCAGCTCCTTAAGCCGCTCCTCATAGGGCTTGTTCTCCAGACCCTTGATCATTTTAGTTGCCCTCCTCTGGACACATTCCAGCTTAGAGACAACATCTCTCTTGAATTGTGGTGCCCAGAATTGGACACAATATTCCAGGTGTGGTCTAACCAAAGCAGAATAGAGCATGGGGAGCATGACTTCCCTAGATCTAGACCACTGTTTCTCAACCTGGGGGTTGGGACCCCTGGGGGGGAGGTCGCGAGGGGTGTCAGAGAGGTCACCAAAGACCATCAGAAAACACAGTATTTTTCTGTTAATTGTGGGGATTCAGCATGGAAAGCTTGGCCCAATTCTCTCATTGGTGGGGTTCAGACTGCTCTGTGATTATAGGTGAACTATAAATCCCAGCAATTACAACTGCCAAATGTCAAGCTCTATTTTCCCCAAACTCCACCACTGTTCACATTTGGGCATATTGAGTATTTGTGCCAATATTTTGTCCAGATCCATCATTGTTTGAGCCCACAGTGCTCTCTGGAGATTGGTGAACTATAACTTCCAATCTCAAGGTCAATACCCACCAAACTGTTCCAGTATTTTCTATAGGTCATGTGTGCCAAGGTTGGTTCAATTCCATCGTTGTTGGAGTTCAGAATGCTCTTTGTATGTAGGTGAACTATAAATCACAGAAACTACAACTCCCAAGTGACAAAATCAATCCCCCCAAGCCCACATATCGAGTATTTGTACCCAATTTGGTCCAGTGAATGAAAATACATTCTGCATGTTGGATATTTACATTACAATTCATAACAGTAGCAAAATCACAATTATGAAGTACCAATGGAAAGAATGTTATGGTTGGGGGGTCACCACAACATGAGGAACTGGATTAAGGGGTCGCGGCATCAGAAAAGGTTGAGAAACACTGATCTAGACACTATGCTCCTATTTCCACAATTTCCACCTCGTCCACCCCGTACTGCTCAGGTTCAACACCAATCTCCCTTTGGGAGGAGACTGAAGCAAACTCAACGAAGAGCCCTGCCTTGTCCAACAAGTCTCTTTAATACATCACAAGTGCAAAACAAAACAGAGACACAACGAACACAACACCCGTTTCACAAAAGCCCTGCCCCAAGGCCAAGGAAGGGGGCTGCGGGAGAGTGTGGGGGGGGGGGGGGGGGGGGGGTGTCCAAAATGGAGATGGCCAAAGGAAGGCCACTCTCTCCCCCACAGCGAATGGAAGACCCCACAAAAAGGGGGGTCCCTCCGTCCAGTGCAGCTGCTGAAATGGAGGCGGACATATTATAGTAAACATTGCATGCTCCGCCCTTCGTTTGGCAATCCAACGCCGGACTCCCTTTGGTCACTTAACCGCAAAGTCTCCGGGGAAACCCACCTCAGGCCGGTGTCCAGTTCCAGGCAGAGCGGCAGCAGGAAAGGGCCACAACTGCCACCATGGGGCCCCTTATTGGGGAGAGCAGCCATTCTGTTTGGCCCACAAACCAGGGCCAGGGTCCACCATGGCTGACCCCTCCTTTGGCAGGTTGCGAGAAACCCATGTTCGTCCTTGACGGTTCCTCAGTGTGGCTTTCCCCAGGAAGCGGCCAGCGCTCTCCAGGGGCCCTTGGGGCCACAAAGGCCAACCCTGAGGCGCTTGGCAGTATTCCCTACGGCCATAGGAGGCTAGCAAGGCCAGCCACAGGAAGCCTTTACGGAGAGAGACCCTGTTGTGAAAAGGCCCCCTGCCAAGCTGCCCCAAACTGGCCCCTTGGACCTCTCTCTCTCTTCCGGAAACAACCGTTCCACTCTAGATGGAGGTCTCGTCGCACTTGGCCAGGGGCACGCCCGTCAGGTAGATGCGGGCCTGGTCGGCGGAGTCCATCTCGTTGACGTAGTGGGGGAAGCCGTTGAGCCCGCTGCCGCCATTCTTCTTGCCGGTGGCCAGCGGGTGCCGCTCGTCCTCCGGGGAGCTGGGGGTCTGGGGCTCGTGGCTGCAGCTGGTGGCGGTCGAGGGCATGAGGTCTAGGCCGTTCCTCTCGCGGCAGAGCAGCTCCCGCCGCAGCCGCTCCCTCCGCCGCCGTTCGTACAGCAGCAGGCAGCCCCCGCTGACCGCCACACCCAGCACGAAGCACAGCAGGCCCACCAGCACGCCGTAGCTGCGCTCCGCTGACTTGACCGGACTCACGAGGCCTTGGCCTCCGCTGACCACGTGGTAGGAGGCCACCACACCACCCATGCCGGACTCCACGCACCGGCACACGTACACCCCCAGAGCGGTTGCTGCTCCGGCCGCAGAGAGCTCCAGGCCATCCCTGCGGATGACGTAGGCCGAAGCGTCTTGGGAAGGCATTTGCCACTCACACCTTGACCAGGAGGACCGTGGGTTGCAGGGCAGGACCACCCGGGCAGATGGGAGCACCGGCACTTCGACCATCAGTGGCACCTCTGGAAGTTAAAAGAGAGCTTGGTCACAGTCTTCTGTGGGGAGGATCCTAACCACCTGCCTCTAGAACACGTGTGTGAAACCTCCATGTCCTTTTCTGTGGCCCTCTAGATGGACTACAACACCCATATTCCTCATTGTTAGACATCATGACTAGAGCTGATGGGAGTTGCAATACAGTGACATCTGGAAGTCTGCAGTTTGTTCAACTTTGGCAACTTTGGCCCTCCAGGTGTTTTGGACTTCAACTCCCACAATTCCAACAGCCTACTGGCTGTTAGGAATTGTGGAAGTTGAAGTCCAAAACACCTGGAGGGCTGAAAATTTCCCACACCTGATTTAGATACAAGACCTGTGGATATGATATCTGTCTGTAAAATATCCTTTTACTTTCCCCCAACCTGTCAGGAGTCAATTTCTTTCTTTTTTTAATTTTTTTTAATTTAAAACTGTTTATTTTGATTATGGTACATAACAGAAAAGCAAATCATGGCAGATATAATCAGGTACCAATATTTTTGACGTGTACATGCCTATCTACCTTATTCAGTCAATCAGTTAATTTTGTCATTAAGTACAAATTATTATCATTTACATATCTTAATACACATAGACTTGTTATTTCTGCCTGTTTTCCGCTGCTTTCCGGCAGAGCTTTGTATTAATTTTTCCCCATAACATTCAGTAAATCATCACATGGCATTTTACACACAAACCACAGACCTTACACTCAACCCAAAACCCCTATCCAAAACAAACTAAACCCTCATCCCCACACCCATGCACCCTTCACCATGACTTCCCGCACTGAAACACTATGAAGCCTTTAAGCCTATTTATCTCTCCTTATTCATGGTCAACCTAAATTCCTAATGGAGCTCCTCTATATTACTGACTCTCTATTCAGAGATGCCATGGCCAACTTCCATTTTTCTAGAAAGTCCTCATTACTCTTATTCCTCCTGTTATAAGTTAGTCTGGCCATGAGCATCTATTCTCGCAATCTTTGGCTATGGTCAATCTTGCCGCTGCAAAGCTATATTGATATATGTCTTGGTCCTTTTGATTATTGTTTTCTCTCTGTAGACCGAGCAGACACAGTCCTGGGCTTTTTAAAATCTTGTTATGTAACATTTTATTTGTCTCCTTAATTACACCTTATCCCAAAATTCCTGTATGATCACACAGGTCCACCACATGTGGAGGAATGTCCCTTTCTGTTTCCTGCACCTCCAGCAAATACCTTGTTGTGATTTGTCTATTTTGGCCAATGTTGCTGGAGTGATATAACACCTATAAAACATTTTGTATTGATTCTCCCTGATTGAACCCGATAAAGTAAATTTGAATTCTTTGTTCCATAGGTATTCCCATTTGTCCACATGCTTGAAATCCACAAGCACGTGGACAATTTCAACAGAAAGGAGGAAACCATGAAAATGAACAAAATCTGGCTACCAGTATTAAAAAACTCAAAAATTACAACAGCACAACAACAGAGAAGAAACAAATAAGGACATCTAATCACCTCTCAACAAAAGATTGCTCCAGGCACTGCCAGGCCATCAAATGCTAATCAAGGTGGTCAGTTGAAACATTCACACCTAGCTCCAGCAGACAAGAGTCCTTTTTCCCACCCTGGTCATTCCACAGATATATAAACCCACTTTCCTAGTTCCAACAGACCTCACTACCTCTGAGGATGATTCCCATAGATGCAGGCGAAATGTCAGGAGAAAATGCCTCTAGAACATGGCCATATAGCCCGAAAAAACCTACAACAACCCAGTGATTCTGGCCATGAAAGCCTTCGACAATAAACTTTATTTTGTAAGTGCTGAAACTAGGAAGAAACGGGTCTGTGAGTGGGTTGTTTTAGGTTTTTTGGGCTATCTGGCCATGTTCTAGAAGCATTCTCTCCTGACATTTCGCCTGCATCTACGGCAAGCATCATCAGCATTTCTGTGTTCCACAGACCTCACTACCTCTGAGGATGCTTGCCAGAGATGCAGGTGAAACGTCAGGAGAGAATGCCTCTAGAACATGGCCATGTAGCCCGAAAAAAACTACAACAACCTGGGGCCTTTGAGTTTTTGTTGTATGGGTCATTTTGTGGCTTCTGGTGCTGGGTTACACCTCTGCAAAGAGGAGCACTCTGGTGTTCGTTTATGGTCGGGGTCTTCTGTTGATAAGTCCACCTGCCCAACATGTTTACCGTGATTTTTTGAAATGGCGGGATTCTTTTGTAATGACTCTGTATTGGAAATGTGTGTGTTGCAGCTATGTGAGGTGGAAGGTCCCAGGACTGCAAAGCATCGGGATGCCCCAATCTCCATCCAGTCCAGTCTTAAGCACAGGAACAAAAGCTGTACCTTCTCTCCCACTCCACACCCGACATTGTCATCCTGACCCTCCTCTGGCCCCGCTCTTGCCCCATCCAGAGACTCACAGTAGAGCTTAGCTAACTCAGCACGGGAAGGCTCAGCCCCCTTACCTTTCTTCTCCGTGGGACACAATGCCGGCACATTCACTGCAGCCAGGTCTTGGATCAGCCTGAGGAGAAAGAGGAGGGAATGGCTTCTTTATTTATCGTGTCAGGAGCAAACCAAACAGTTGTATTGCATTTTAACAAACAAACAAACAAAACACAAAGTTTGCAAGCTTGGTAGTTGATTAAATGTCCTTTGACCAGTAGCTGGCCACTTGGAGTGCCTCTGGTGTTGCCGCAAGAAGGTCCTCCATTGTGCATGTGGCAGGGCTCAGGTTGCATTGCAGCAGGTGGTCAGTGGTTTGCTCTTCTCCACACTCGCATGTCGTGGATTCCACTTTGTGGCCCCATTTCTTGAGGTTGGCTCTGCATCTTGGGTGCCAGAGCGCAGTCTGTTCAGCGCCTTCCAAGTCGCCCAGTCTTCTGTGTGCCCAGGGGAGTCTCTCATTTGGTATCAGCCATTGATTGAGGTTCTGGGTTTGAGCCTGCCACTTTTGGACTCTCGGTTGCTGAGGTGTTCCAGCGAGTGTCTCTGTAGATCTTAGAAAACTATTTCTAGATTTAAGTCGTTGACGTGCTGGCTGATACCCAAACAGGGGAGGAGCTGGAGATGTCTCTGCCTTGGTCCTTTCACTATTGGCTACTTCCCGGTGGATGTCAGGTGGTGCAATACCAGCTAAACAGTGTAATTTCTCCAGTGGTGTAGGGCGCAGACACCCGTGATAATGCGGCATGTCTCATTAAGAGCCACATCTACTGTTTTAGCGTGGTGAGATGTGTTCCACACTGGGCATGCATACTCAGCAGCAGAGTAGCATAGCGCAAGGGCAGATGTCTTCACTGTGTCTGGTTGTGATCCCCAGGTTGTGCCAGACAGCTTTTGCATGAGATTGTTTCTAGTACCCGCTTTTTGCTTGATGTCCAGGCAGTGCTTCTTGTAGGTAAGAGCACAGTCCAGAGTGACTCCCAGGTATGTGGGTGCTGGTTGTCTGGGAAAGAAAGCCCTGCCTCTCCTGGCAGATGAGAGTGAGGTCAAAGCCCCTTCCGCAGGAGGGAAGCCTGCTTCTCTGCCCTCCCTGTCCTTCCAGACCCGTGTTCAAAGCCTTCCATAGCCATGCCACTTACCCCGCCTGTCCGTGATGCTCCCGGCAGACCCCCAGGTCCCGGCTCCAGGCGCAAGCGGGGTCTCTGGAAAGGAGGCAGTCCTGGCAGGTCTTATACGCATGGCAGGTGGACATGGGGATTTGGGTCACCTCTGTGTCGGACGCCACGTAGAGCCAGTTCTGGAGAGACGGAGGAGGCAAAAGCCGAGATATGAATGAGGGGTCAAGCAGGGAGGAGCCTTTCTTTCCCTGTGAGAAGTGCTGCCAGGCCTCTCACACTGACTATTCCCTCCCTTTCTCTCTCCCTTTTTCGAATGTGAAGGTGTCCTTAGGCAAGGGCTTATCAGGGACGGCTGCAAAGGAGTTGCCGTGACCGGCCTTGGGGAAGTGGGGGTGGAAGGAGAAGCATCCGTCTGAGAATTGGCACCCACTGAAACCTCCCCTGTCCTTGAGAAAGGGACGTGACAGCCATGTTTACATATTTCAAAGGGAGGTCACATTGAGGAGCAGGCCAGCTTCTTTTCCGCCGCTCTGGAGACTAGGACACAAGGGAGCCATGGATGAAATCACAGGAAAAGAGATTCATGGCCGGAATCACTGGGTTGTTGAGAGGAAACAAACAGGGACATCTAATCACCTCTCAACAAAAGATTGCCCCAGGCACTGCCAGGCCATCAAATGCTAATCAAGGTGGTCAGTTGAAACATTCACACTTAGTATTGTCAAAGGCTTTCATGGCCGGAATCACTGGGTTGTTGTAGGTTTTTTTCGGGCTATATGGCCACGGTCTAGAGGCATTCTCTCCTGGCGTTTCGCCTGCATCTATGGCAAGCATCCTCAGAGGGAGTGAGGTCTGTTGGAACTAGGAAAAAGGGTTTATATATCTGTGGAATGACCAGGGTGGGACAAAGGACTCTTGTCTGTTGGAGCTAGGTGTGAAAGTTTCAACTGATCACTTTGATTAGCATTTGATTGACTGGCAGTGCCTAGAGCAATCTTTTGTTGAGAGGTGATTAGATGTCCTTGTTTGTTTCTTCTCTGTTGTTGAGCTGTTGTAATTTTAGAGTTTTTTTAATACTGGTAGCCAGATTTTGTTCATTTTCATGGTTTCCTCCTTTCTGTTCCAACAGACCTCACTCCCTCTGAGGATGCTTGCCATAGATGCAGGCGAAATGTCAGGAGAGAATGCTTCTAGAACATGGCTATATAGCCCGAAAAAAACCTACAACAACCCAGTGATTCCGGCCATGAAATCCTTTGACAATACTAGGTGTGAATGTTTCAACTGACCATCTTGATTAGCATTTGATGGCCTGGCAGTGCTTGGGGCAATCTTTTGTTGAGAGGTGATTAGATGTCCTTGATTGTTTCCTCTCTGTTGTAATTTTTGGATGGCTTGGCAGTGCCTGAGGCAATCTTTTGTTGAGAGGTGATTAGATGTCCTTGATTGTTTCCTCTCTGTTGTTTTGCTGTTGTAATTTTAGAGGTTTTTTTTTTTTTAATACTGGTTGCCAGAAATTCCGCTTAAACATTAGGAAGAACCTCCTGCCATGCAGGAAAATACATTCAAGGCATTCCTGACAGATGGCTGTCTAGCCTCTGTTCAAAAACTTCCAGAGAAGGAGACTCCAACAGACTCCCAGGGAGCAGCATATTCCACTGCCAAACATCTCTTACTACCAGGAAGTTCTTCTCATGGGTCTGAGAGATGGCCTCACACTGTGAGGTAGGCCTTAGTCTGTAAGAGAAGCCTGTGTGTGAGATAAGCCTCGGTATGAGAAGGCCTTGTGAGATTATCGAAGGCTTTCATGGCCGGAATCAATGGGTTGTTGTAGATTTTTTCGGGCTATATGGCCATGTTCTAGAGGCATTCTCTCCTGACGTTTCGCCTGCATCTATGGCAAGCATCCTGTCCTTTGAATCCCTAGCTCCATTGGGTCCTAGTCTCCAGAGCAGCAGGAAAGAAGCTCAGCCCCGCCTCAACGTGACATGCTTTCAAATATGTAAACATGGCTCCCAGCCTTCTTTCCCCAAAGCTAAACATTCCCAGCTCCTTCTCCAAGGGCTTGGCTTCCTGCCGGCATGCGCTGTGGCTGAAGAGCCTTTTGAGTGGCGTAATAAATGGGACTGTCCAACGGTAAATACAACAGGGACGAGCAATGGGTTCAAATTACAGGAAAGGTGATTCCACCTGAACATTAGGAAGAACTTCCTGAATGCAAGAGCTGTTCAGCAGTGGAACTCTCTGCCTTGGAGGCTTTTAAACAGAGGCTGGATGGCCGTCTGTTGGGATGCTTTGATTGTGCTTTTCCTGCATGGCAGTGGGTTGAACTAGATGGCCCATGTGGTCTCTCTTCCAATTATTATTGTATGATTCTACGTTACGCGTCCCACCTGGTGGAGCTGCAGGTTCCGGACAGGTTGCGGCTCCGCAAAGAGATGGAGGTCCTCGAGGAGGGAGAGCCGAGGGCCAATCCTCACGGCCTTGTGGACGTGGCCGTCCTCTAGTTGGGATGAGGGAGAAGGACCGTCAGAGTGGACAAGGAGCAGCCACGGTCTTCAACCCCACAGAGCCCCACAAGATTAACCCCCCTCTCCCCTGCCTCAATGAGTCTCACCTGTCCCCAGGTAGAGGACGTGGTGCTCCTGGCCGGAGAGGGCAGCCACCCGGTCAATGGCCAGCCGAAGGTAGCGTGCCCCCGGCACGACCAAGACTGGTGCATTTTCCAGGGGGAGGACTAGTTCGTCCATGAGAGGGTGGTCACGCACAAAGGTCAGGACACGGTCAGGGAGGGCCAGCGAGGACGCGATCCCCTCCGTGCTGCTATCATGTTATCTGAAAAAAGCAAGGGAATAATAATAATAATAATAATAATAATAATAATAATAATAGTATTACCTTATTTGCAACCTGCCCTATCTAGTAATAATAATAATAATAATAATAATAATAATAATAGTAATAATAGTATTACCATATTTGCAACCTGCCCTATCTAGTAATAATAATAATAATAATAATAGTAATAATAGTATTACCTTATTTGCAACCTGCCCTATCTAGTAATAATAATAATAATAATACTAATAATAATATTAATAATAGTATTACCTTATTTGCAACCTGCCCTATCTAGTAATAATAATAATAATAAAATAATAATAAGAGTATTACCTTATTTGCAACCTGCCTTATCTAGTAATAATAATAAAGTAATAATAGTATTACCTTATTTGCAACCTGCCCTATCTAGTAATAATAATAATAAAATAATAATAAGAGTATTACCATATTTGCAACCTGCCCTATCTAGTAATAATAATAATAATAATAATAATAATAATAATAATAGTATTACCTTATTTGCAACCTGCCCTATCTAATAATAATAATAATAATAATAGTAATAATAATAATAGTATTACCATATTTGCAACCTGCCCTATCTAGTAATAATAATAATAATAATAATTTATTTGTAACCCACCCTGTCTAATAATAATAATAATAATAATAATAATAATAATAATAATAATAATTTGTAACCTGCCCTATCAGTAACAATAATAATACTTTATTTGTAACCCACCCTATCTTACAACAACAACACTAATAACAATTTATTTGTAACCCACCTTATCTTATAATAATACTTTATTTTATCCAGCCCTATCTAATAAGAATACGAATAATAATACCACCTTATTTGTAACCCACCCTATCTTATAATAATAATAATACTTTATTTGTAACTCACAGTCTTATAATAATAATAATAATAATAATAATAATAATAATAATAATAATTTTGTAACCTGCCCTATCTAATAATAATAATAATAATAATAATAATAATAATACTTTATTTGTAACCTGCTCTATCTTACAACAATAATAGCAATTTATTTGTAACCTGCCCTAATTATAACAATAACATTTTATTTGTAACCCGCCCTATGGCTGGATGGCCTTCTGCCAGGGGTGATTTGAATGCAATATTCCTGCTTCTTGGCAGGGGGTTGGACTGGATGGCCCATGAGGTCTCTTCCAACTCTTTGATTCTATGATTCTATCTAATAATAATAATAATAATAATAATACACAACCTTATTTGTAACCCAACCTATCTTCTTCTTCTTCTTCTTATTATTATTATACTTTATTTGTATAATAATAATAATAATTAGATAGGGTGGGTTACAAATAAAGTATAATAATAATAATAATAATAATAATACTTTATTTGTAACTCACCCTATCTAATTATTATTATTATTATTATTATTATTATTATTATTATTATTATTATTATTATTTATTTGTAACCCACCCTATCTCCCCAGGGGGACTCAGGGAAGAGGGGGTCAGTAGGGTCTATCGCAGAGAGACCTGCACCCCCCACCCGTCCCCCACACCAGTGGAACTCCCACACGGCCAGGCCCTCGCTTACCGCTCCCGGGCGAGGACGGGGGACGTCACTCTGCGTGAGGCGCGTCCACTTGTCGCACTCCCTCCGGAACTCTTTGAAGCGTCCCTCCATGGCCCTCCGGACGGCCTCCATGCTGTAGGTGCAGACGGCCGAACCGCTCTCCTCCCTCCTGCAAAAGGGGCCGAGTGCCATCATTGCTCAGCCCAAGTGGGAGAGGTACCCCACTGAAGCTTGCCCATCATTGCTCAGCCCAAGTGGGAGAGGTCCCCCACTGAAGCTTGCCCATCATTGCTCAGCCCAAGTGGGAGAGGTCCCCCACTGATGCTTGCCCATCATTGCTCAGCCCAAGTGGGAGAGGTCCCCCACTGAAGCTTGCCCATCATTGCTCAGCCCAAGTGGGAGAGGTCCCCCACTGAAGCTTGCCCATCATTGCTCAGCCCAAGTGGGAGAGGTCCCCCACTGAAGCTTGCCCATCATTGCTCAGCCCAAGTGGGAGAGGTCCCCCACTGAAGCTTGCCCATCATTGCTCAGCCCAAGTGGGAGAGGTCCCCCACTGAAGCTTGCCCATCATTGCTCAGCCCAAGTGGGAGAGGTCCCCCACTGAAGCTTGCCCATCATTGCTCAGCCCAAGTGGGAGAGGTCCCCCACTGAAGCTTGCCCATCATTGCTCAGCCCAAGTGGGAGAGGTCCCCCACTGATGCTTGCCCATCATTGCTCAGCCCAAGTGGGAGAGGTCCCCCACTGAAGCTTGCCCATCATTGCTCAGCCCAAGTGGGAGAGGTCCCCCACTGAAGCTTGCCCATCATTGCTCAGCCCAAGTGGGAGAGGTCCCCCACTGAAGCTTGCCCATCATTGCTCAGCCCAAGTGGGAGAGGTCCCCCACTGAAGCTTGCCCATCATTGCTCAGCCCAAGTGGGAGAGGTCCCCCACTGAAGCTTGCCCATCATTGCTCAGCCCAAGTGGGAGAGGTCCCCCACTGAAGCTTGCCCATCATTGCTCAGCCCAAGTGGGAGAGGTCCCCCACTGAAGCTTGCCCATCATTGCTCAGCCCAAGTGGGAGAGGTCCCCCACTGAAGCTTGCCCATCATTGCTCAGCCCAAGTGGGAGAGGTCCCCCACTGAAGCTTGCCCATCATTGCTCAGCCCAAGTGGGAGAGGTCCCCCACTGAAGCTTGCCCATCATTGCTCAGCCCAAGTGGGAGAGGTCCCCCACTGAAGCTTGCCCATCATTGCTCAGCCCAAGTGGGAGAGGTCCCCCACTGATGCTTGCCCATCATTGCTCAGCCCAAGTGGGAGAGGTCCCCCAACCCCTCTGAAGCTTGCCCCATGTGCGGATCCTCCTGTCCTTTGCATCAAGGTCAGGGGAGGAAAGAGCTGGACTGTAGTTCCCATCCTCCCTCATGATTGCTCAAGCTGGCAAGGGTAATGGAGAACGTAGTCCCATCAACTCAGCAAAGGACAAGGAAGGGGAAGCAGTCACTGCTGGCTGCTAGTCAAGGCAACTCAAACGTGTTAGAGATATGTCTGTACTAGGAAAAACATCCTCAGGCACGTCTTGGCAAAAAGGCAACAGGTCATCGTAGGGAAAGTGCACAAAGCCCACCACAAAAATACCCCTGGCTCTCACCCCTGAGCTGCAAAGACCCCATAGAAGATGGTTGCATTCCAAGCGCCGTCTAGGGCTGGAAGAGTGACCACGTCCCGCAGGACATTGAAGACGGTGCCGCTCCTGGGGTCTGAGCAGTGGAGCTGCGCCTTCAGGAAGGTGGTCCATCGCTTCTGCAGGGTCTTCTGGCCCCCCAAGTCTCCCTGCAGGGACAACAGTAAGAGGTTTATTTATTTATCGTGTCAGGAGCGAACCAAAACAGTCGTATTGCATTAAAAACAAACAAACAAACAAAACACAAAGTTTGCAGACTTGGTATTCTATTAAATGTCCTTTGACCAGTAGCTGGCCACTTGGAGTGCATCTGGTGCTGCTGCAAGAAGCTCCTCCATTGTGTATGTGGCAGGGCTCAGGCTGCATTGTAGTAGGTGGTCTCCGCACTCGCATGTCGTAGATTCCACTTTGTGGCCCCATTTCCCAAGGTTGGCTCTGCATCTCATGGTGCCAGAGCGCAGTCTGTTCAGCGCCTTCCAAGTCGCCCAGTCTTCTTCTGTGTGCCCAGGGGGAGTCTCTCATTTGGTATCAGCCATGGATTGAGGTTCTGGGTTTGAGCCTGCCACTTTTGGACTCTCGCTTGCTGAGGTGTAAGAGATAATGGCACTGCAGTGTGTCTGAGAGGAAGAGCCGCATTGGGAGAAGCGGAGGGAGGTGGGAAAGGTGTCCAGAGGGGACACAAATGTCATCCCTCTTGCAGGTAGAAAAGCAGTAGCTCTAGAACACTAGCAATGGGGAGGAGAGTGGCCAGCCCCACAACACAAGTGAGAAGGGCCCCCAGCTTCCTGCCCCCATGATGTGCCAACCCTTGCCCCCCAGGCCCACCTTGCAGACGCGGGCCACGCGGGCCACCTTGACCTTCTCGTAAAAGTCGTACTCGCGAGCCGTCTCCGTGAAGAAGAAATAGATCTTGTCGTCTTCTCCATCCTTCCCTTCCCGCAGGAAGGCTGATGCCACAAATTCTGGATCTGGAACGGGAAGGATGGGAGAGGGACTGATTGTGGCACTGGCTCCAACCCCAACTTTATTTATTATTTATTTTGAATATTTGTACCCCACCCTTCTCAACCACTTGGGGGGGATTCAGGGTGGCTTCCAATCGGCAGCAATTAGATGCCTCAATATATACATAATAAAAATGAACAGTCAATAATTTAAATAGTTAAAAACATTAAAACAATACAATTAAAATCTACTAAGAATTACCACTCTGGTGGCCATTATTACCCGAAAACTGTGGTTGGATGCTCCATCAAACTTATCCATATTCCATTTCCAAGCCATTGTCAACATTTTTATTGTCATTGTCCGCTTAAATACCCAAAGGCCTGGTCCACATCCATGTTTTTAACTTTTTCTAAAGGTGAGGAGGGATGAAGATGACCTAATTTCCCCAGGGAGTGAGTTTCACAGGTGGGGGGCCACCACCGAGAAGGCCCTGTCCCTCGTCCCCGCCAAGCGTGTTTGAGACAGAGGCAGGGCTGAGAGCAGGGCCTCCCCAGAAGATCTTAAACTCCGAGGTGGGATGTAGAAGGAGATACGTTCGGACAGGTATGCTGATCCACCAGGAGCTGTATAGAGTTTGGGTCTCTTACCCAGTGTTTATATATTTTTTGTGCTGCATCTTTCTCCATACTCTCCAGCATTCTCAACAGCCCTCCAGTGTATACCGACTGCGACGGGGGACACACGAGCTGTAACAT